TGGGGGCTTTGCGCATGTAATTTTGCATTAGAGTGAAACTATCTCTCACTCTGACATCTAGAAACGGAAAAGCAGTCTCATTGCTCATGGATTATCAGAAATCATTTCAAAGGGACACAGACACATTGGATTAACCTATGGATTAACTTCAGCAGCGTTTTTATCGTTTTAATGCCAATAGCCGCGTTCACACCGGAGTACTTTTCACTGTACTTTTCGCGTTTAGTTCCGTTAGTACCCCTTATGTCGCGTTCACACCAAAAAGAGCACTTAATCTCGAGAACTTTTACCCCCATTTTTAGTGCCTGCTGAGAGATGGTACTTTCCTGGGGGAAAAAAGTGCCCCAGTTCTGATTGGCTGGGCGAATTGCAAACCACGCCCCGTACAACTCTGAAATGTTTTGTAGAGCCGCCATTTTATTATCCTCGCATTAGCATTATTAGCATTAGCATTCGCCCAGCGCACAAACGCAGAGAGACTAACTTATGGCAACACAAAATAAAACATGGGAGCGGTGGAGATGAGGAGGTGTCGGCGTTCTGGCGATTTACTCGGAAGGCTTCAGTAGAAGCTGCAGCCAGTCCCCAACTCCGGGGACTTCCGGCCGGGGACTTCCGGCCGGGGACTCTGGGTGGCAATATACGCCGTGAAGTTGTTTGCGGAATGCCAGTAAACCCAAAGCAGAAGAAGACGAAGTGACGTCAGCGGCTCATTTGCGTAATCTTCCCTCAGGGAATTTATTCCGGTGTGAACGCGATCTGTACTAAATGCCCATGGGTAATAAGTGCCGGGGCACTAAGTGCCGGCACTAAATACGGCAAAGTACTTGGTGTGAACGCGCCTATTGAAGACCACTTTGGAGAGACTACAGAGCCAAGGTGAGCCATGTTAGCATTTTTAGCTACCTAGCGCCACATGTTTTGATGTCTGTTTATGTTTATAACGTCGCGATTTCGTATAATTCAGTGATAATGAGGGTACCCTTCGATTCTGTGTCACCTCACGATGTCATGGATGTGGAGAAAAGATAAATAATAAGGTTTTGTGAGTGATTTTCGGTGCAGTAATCTGTTAGCATTTTTCGCTCATTGCTAATTCAGAGGCTCAGTGTTAGCATTGTGGGTTTTCTTTTGAAAAAAAGATCAGTTAGATGAGTTTCTGCCCGTTACATGGATATAAAACATTCATAGTTTATTAAATGAACATGCCCTCAGACACTGTTTCCTGCAAGATGTTGCGGCAGTGCCCCGGTACCGGGGTCTCTCGGGCTTAACAGGTTAAAGAACTACATGGTATTGCTTCGGACCCTCACCTCACTCAAGGCCATCCTTACCAAATTACTTTTTTTTTGGAACAACTAACTTTCCAACTTTTAGAACTGCAGGTTAATAATAAAATTATAAAATGCAATAACGTGCTTTAACCAGTAGGTGTCCCTTTCTATCAGCTGTGCACCGTTATGGCGTAAATACAGCCTATCTACCAATTGGATCAAATATAAAAGTCAGCCGAATTAGTGTTGATACTGCAAGGAGACGTATTGTGTGAAAAGAAATGTAAGATGTTGTTTAATTGCTTATATATTTAAGATCCACGTCAAGTTTTCAGTTTTGGCGGCAGTTCCTGTTTGTCTAGAAGTCTCGTTATCAGGGCTCTATAAATAGAGTTAACTACGGCAGATATGTAATATTTAATGCAGCCGAAACGTGTATTACAATGCCGTTATGTGATGACTTTCAAAGAGAAAAGCAAGCACACTCGGAATAATGTATTATTTAATTGTTTTATACAGTCTATGGTTGCTACAGAGGATTGTGGGTAATGTAATGTCTTCGGCCATCCAAAACTCATAGAAAACGACTTGTTTCTCAGAATTGAAGGGGAAAACGTGACAAAAGCATTGTACACACACTAAAACCTATCAATGTCGTTTAATTAACAAGGATAATCTGGTGTTTTTGAGTTGATGAGTAGTGGAGATATCACTGTCAAATCAATCGACAGTAAGGGGAATACTTACTTTCTGTTAGGGTTTTGTATTTATGTTTTCTTTTTTCCACTTTTGTTTGAAATGTTTTCCTCCTTGTGTCTTCTCTGTTCCTTCTTCCTGTGTTTGCCTTCCTGTCGTTAGTTTCCCTGGTGTGTCTGATTGTCTGATTGTGTTCACCTGTTGCCCTTGTGTTTCTGCCTCCCTTACCCCAGCTGTGTCTCGTCTTGTGATTACCCCTCCCTGTATTTAGTCTTGTCTCTTCCTTTTGTTCCCCTGTCGGTTCATTGTTGGTTTTTCCTGTCTTCCTCCATGTCAGTCACGGTTGTCTCTCCTGTCTCCCTCCATGTTGGTCACGGTCAGTTTTTGTACAACCCATTTGTTTCATGCCATGTTTTTGTTCAGCTTTTAAAATAAAGCTCGCTTTTTGTTTCGAGACCTTTTACCTTTTTTTGATAGTCTGCATTTGGGTCCTACCCTTCCACGCATCCTAACATAAAAAAGAAAACCTAAATACAAAACCCTAACACTTCCGGGTGTACAATTTTCCGTTATCCAATGGGAATGGACGCTCGCATTGCCTTTAACAGCCTCCGACACAAACGAATGCCGTGCTTCCCTGAGCGTCAAATACCGCCGCCGATGGGAATACATTGCAATCAGTTGAAAGCTCTTTGCGTCCGTTTATGAAGCTGAAGGAGCCTCGGCGCGTCACAATTGGACGCCACGGGACCCTGACCAAGCATCGCTCCTGGACGCTTAGGGAGTGAGAGTGTGTTGCCTGTTTTCTCAACACTTTAACTCAGCCCAGCGAACCAGTCGCTGATATTCCATAGGTCTTATTTTATTTTGGTGCACAATTGCCATTTTAAACGCTGGTGTGAACAAGCCTTTATCGTGTCCAAACATACTTTCCAAGCTTCTCAGTGTTTTTGTGTTGTTGTTTTAAAGTGCAGCTATGCAATTTCTATGAAAGAGAAGCGTCAAAGCTCTTTCTGTTAAACTCTAGCGAGCAGTGCAGTATATCAGTATATAGATCTTTTTCAACGCATTGTAGTTTTCTTCTTCTCTGTATTACTACTTATAAATGCAAGCCAATTAGTGGTCATACATCTCTTTTACATGTGTCCAAGAGATAATCAAAAATACACATGTGCTTATCTAATTGAAAATATATTTGTGCTGCTGTACTGTGACCTGGTATTCACATTATACTAATATTAGTAATTTTAGATACTCTTGGCTTAAAATATGACATATGATATGACATGATTTGGCTTTCACTATGACTGGCCTGGAGATCTCATACAGTATACCATAGCTTTATCTCTGGGGGGGGGGGAATCAAGCAGTGTCACTATCTTCCAGTAATGCTGAAAGAACAGAAAAAGTGGATTGATATAAAATCCTTTTTTTCATAAATGCTTCATACACATGGCATACAATAACACGTGTCAGTTTCATATATTTTTCCATCAGACTTACATTCTGAAAAGTCATTTGAAATGATTGAACATAGTATTCAGTTATCTGTAGAATCGTTGTGAACAACTTGAGTGGCATTGCAACATGTTCTCAGTCCCAACTAGTCAAATACGAACGCTTGTAAATTCAACAATTGTACTAAATTGCAACTTATATAACCTATTTTTAAACGTGCAGGGCAATACGATTGACTTAAACAGGTAGTAAACTTGACGTCACGTATGTGATCTAAGTTAAATACATTACGTTATTACTAGGCCACACAACTACTTGGCTAGGTTTAGGAAAAGATCATTGTTCGACTTAAAATAAAGTATTTTTGTTACATACACGATGTTACTAATTTGTTATAATGGTTGGGGTCATATATCATATAAGTAATGTACGTAAGTTAAGTAAGTGATGTGGGTTACATAAGTATACAACAAGTGAATTTTGACAACATTTCTGTTAAGCCTTGGAAATGATTTGGGTGACAGTTCTGTGTTTGTTTGACCCGTCCACCCCTTCTAAACAAGGACGTTTTCACACGGAGCCTACTGACTTCCTCGCACGGAGCCTTGCTTCCTCACACTACCTGTTGCTTTAAGAATCTATTTGAAGTTTCTATTAATTACTCACAACCCAAGAGAGACCTCGCCCCAGTTATTCATCTGACCTCCTGTTGCTTTACATCCCTTCCCGCAGCCTGAGATCCTCAGAAGCGCCGCTCCGGGTCGATCAAGGTCGATCCAGGTCCAGGTCCAAACAGGAGACAGAGCCTCTGACGGCCTGCCTGAGGAGATCAGAGCTGTAATCTCTGTCACGTCCTTTAAATCACTTTTTAGAATCCTCTTTTTTTAGAATTACTTTTATTCTGTTTGTTTTTGTTTAGGTATGTTTCAGTTGCTGGTTTTTAGTTTATTTCATTCTCTGCGTGCATAAATGTGTTCTGTTTTTATGTGAAAGCACATTAATAACGTTTTTGTAATGATTATTATTATAATACCTCCTTCGATCGTTTTATCATTTCTTTGGCCACTACATGCAGCCCTGCACATACAAAACTCACGCTAGAGAAGTAAGAGAAGCCTCATAGTTTTATTCCTTAGGCCGTTTACCAAGCTGTCGTATTTGACAAAGTAGGAGTGAGAACGCTCTGTACACGCACCAATTGTACACTTAGATACACAAGTGTTGTCAAAGAAAAACATTTTCTTTCAAGTGAGCAGCATGTTAGAACTAACTATGTTCTCTGTGTGTGTGTGTGTGTGTGTGTGTGTGTGTGTGAGAAAGAGAGATGTGCATGAAGGCATCCTGGGGCTGTTTGTGGTTTGTGTGTCTGTATTTCAGTTATCTTGTACATTTGTGTGATTCCATGTGTTTGCATGCACATGTGTATGTTGGGGGGGTGACATTATGGCTGAGAGAAGGCTGTTGGTACAAAGGAAGCACCCCCCAAACACACGTTCACAAACTGCAGAACCTAGAAACACACAAGCATACACACGGTCAGGCAGAGACGCAGGGGTGGGGGGGGCTCTGAGGTCATAACCTGGCGTGCAGGTTGACAATGACGCCGTCTTCAGGCAGGTCTTTGACAGGCAGGTCGCTCAGCTCCCCCCCCCCGTGGTCCGTGCTCTCACAGCTGCTCTGAGGCGACTCAGGGGGGGGCTGGTACAGGATGCTGGCTAACAAGAAGAAGATTATCCCTAAAACCTAAAGACAGAGAGCAGATGATAGAAGTGATGAGGGGAAGCCAGATGAATGTTACACAGAAACTGATTCACTTACATTTTAGGAAGCACATTATTAGCTTTTTTACCAAAAATTATATTAGAATATCAATATCACCCTCATGTTTCTGCCTTATGTGTGAATCTAGAGCCCACAGGTGATTAGCTTAGCAGTGCCTAAAGCACAATGCATTGTTATTGACTTGGAGGTGAGCAGATATACTGTATTTTACCTCACATGCAACTTGTACAAATACAAAAAAGTTGGTTGAATGTAAAATGGCATGTAGCTATTTAAATTACCTTATAGATAATTCCAGCTATCAGTGTGTACTGACTCATGGCTGAGTTGTGATAGAGGTAGCAGGAGCCCTGCTCGCCACACCTGTCCTGCCACAGCAAGCAGGAGATGTCGATCACAGTGCCAAAGGCTATGGGTCCTGGGATACCACCTGTGGGGAGACAACAGCACAGATTCAATCTCATGGCTTCTGGGTAGAAAGAAAGTAGAGAGAATTCTAACATTTCGATGGGATTCTTTTACAGTAAAATCAACTTAAGGAAAAAGAGGACCTACCTAACGTGCGCACTACGATCCACTGGATTCCCAGTCCAAAGGATCTCTGGCTGTCCGGCACACACCTACACAAAACATTTAGTCAGACACACTGGTATCATGGATCTAAAACTTCATTACAATATAAGTTGATTAACAGTTTGAAACAGCAGCGTTTCCACAAAAAAATAGAAGGGCTCTGATGCTCCTTTAGAGCATGCAATGACAGTGATTGAATCTAAGATTCAATCACCATTTTCCCAATGTCCTTCTTCAAAGAAACTAAATATATACAGTACCAGTCAAAAGTTTGGACACACCTTCTCACTTATTTTTTACATTGTAGATTAATACTGAAGACATCAAAACTATAAAAGAACACATTATGGAATTATGGAATGATGTAGTATGACGACCTGATGAAGCTGACTGAGAGAAGCCAAGAGTGTGCAAAGCTGTCATCAAGGCAAAAGGGGGCTACTTTGAAGAATCTAAAATATAAATCATATTCTGGTTTGTTTTACACTTTTTTGTTTACTAGATAATTCCGTATGTGTTCTTTCATATATTGATGTCTTCAGTATTAATCTACAATGTACAACAAATTAAATAAATAAAAACCTTCGAATGAGAAAGTGTGTCCAAACTTTTGACTGGTACTATACATATATATATATATATATATATATATATATGTAGTTTAATCAAATAAAACTGTGGTCCCTCTGAGTGTTCTGAAAGTGCAGTAAGTGTCAGTACGTTTTTTTTCTGTTATTACAAAAGCAAACTGAACAGTTTCAGAATCTACAGTACAAGCAATCTTTTTCACTGTGGCACCCACCGGAGCGTGGCGGTGAGTGCTGGGATGCTACAGAGGAAGGTGAAGGAGATGATGATGAAGAGGAAGGAGAGGAAGGCTGGCATGTGGTGGCAGGAGCTTACACACTTCCCTCTCAGAGCCAAGCCCTCCTCGGCCCTGGACACATTTCCCACCACACAGCTGCATCCTGAGTACACCTGAATCACACACACACACACACACACACACACACACACACACACACACACACACACACACACACCACACACACACACACACACACACACACACACACACACAACACACACACACACACACACACACCATAATTAGTTCTAACATGCTGCACTCTTGAAAGAAATAATATTTTAAGCTTTAACTGACATTTTTACAAATAAAAAATATACATGCAATTAGGCCTGTCACGATAATACATTTTGTTGGACGATACATTTTCCCGGAAATTATTGCGATAAACGATAATATTGTCGGCACCGTTGTAAGACCATTTTAGACCACTGACATAATGATAATATATAATAATATTTCAAGTAAATCCTTTGAAACAGAATTTTGTATTCAACATTCAACATTGCAAATGAAATGTGAAATAATATTCAAATATATAAATTATATATAATAAATAAAACAAATACATTTAATTATAACAAATTAAAGGAAACCTATCATGCTATATTTAAATGATATATTGTAGGGCCATACCTATATAAGGTATATTTATACGTTTCTGTTTTCAAAATACCAAAACAGATCATGCATTTTAGCCATGCCTCATTTCGCTCTATGTGCTGTTTGCTGTCTACGGGTCTGATTCTGCTGACCACGCCCCCCTGCAGGAGAGGGGAGACGTGCTCTGATCAGCTGCTGGGCTGTCAGAAGAGGGGGAGAAAAAGAGATCTCCGTGTTTTATTATATAGAGTCGTTATTCATTTGTTTTAAAGCTCAATAAATAACAAAGAAGACCTTTGACCGGCACTTTTCTAATTTTGTCCGGAAGATTTAAACTTTAACGGACATCTTGACCGGCGAAACAAACTGAAACTGAAACTCTGCCGCACGGTCCCCTCGTTCCTTGGAAGAGGCGGAGAGGTGGGTGTTTGTCATCTGCTGGTGGACTAACCGGAGAGAATTACAGTGCTTGCCTCGACGGGGAGGGATTGCATTGAATTAAAGCAGCGGGAGCAAACGCTTGCCTCGGGGAGGGAGAAAAAAAGCCACAGCGGAGAATAAACAGAAGGGTAACCATGGTAACCAAGTCTTCTTCACTGCTTTTGTGGCAGACTACAGCGCCATTTACAGGCCTGGCATATGTACTACAGCGTCTCCAGCGCTTTCGAACGGCAATGGCCGTGGCTGTCTCCTCCTGATTGGTGGAGTTGGCCCAATAGCCGTAGCGCCACCGTCCTGACATCAGGACAGTGTTCAAATCTGGATCAGTTTTTATCAGATCCGTTGCAGCCCCTTTTTTAGAGATTTGGGTATGGAGGAAAATAGAGAGGGTTGTGTTTTCTGACACTTGGTGAGTTCCCTGGAACACCGGGGACACATATTCATGTATAAAAGACGTACAAAAGTGCATTTTGCATGATAGGTCCCCTTTAACCTGTTAAGCCCTGAGCCTGTTTTTCAGGTTTCAGGCTCGAAAATGCCACTAACACAACAAAGACTATATCTTCACTTCTAAAAGGGGTAAATTAATAATCTTTTTTCTCAAAGCAAGGTTACATCTGTGAGTTGGATGTAGAAGTGTCAGAAATCAATATAGATGTTTTTATTTTAAAATAAATTCATATGGAACATAGTAAAAACATGTAAATTCTATCTCCGCCTAAAAAAAAAAACATTACTTATAGTGAAAACCACCCTTGAATGATGGGTTAGTAGACTAAAAGCTTTAGGAATCCAAACTATAACATATAATAAGTACCCTCTATCAAGATTGATGCAAAACAAGTGAAATTTGACCTTTTTAGAGAGGTTTAGAAAAATAAAGTCCAGGCGGACTCACCTCTGGGTAATTTGGGAACCATCAGTTCCATTTGACCTTTTTCACTGTAAAAATCATTTTATTACTTTGAATTATCACTATAGGTATTCATTCCATCCAAATACAACTGTTGTAAAAAAATAAATAAAAAAAAACATACAAAATGAAGTTTGACTCCAACTGGAGAAGATTTATTTAAAACTTTACAATGTTACAACTTAGGCATGCCACTCCTCGTAACAATTATTTTTGGAAGTGAAGCACAGAGGGACCTCACACTTCCTGCAGTACACAGCTGTCTTCACCTTCTTTTTGCCAGCATCATGGCAGTTCCTGCAGTACTACAGGAAGGAAGTGAACCAGCTGGCCCTGTGGTGCCAAAACAACAACCTCTTCCTCAACCTGGAGAAAACAAAGGAGATAGTTGTTGACTTCAGGAGAACCCACTGTCGACCCCCACTCCCCCTGACCATCAACGGCGCTGCTGTGACGCAGGTGACCAGCACCAAATTCCTTGGTGTGACCATCACTGAGGACCTCATCTGGAAAAACAACACCACTGCTCTAGCGAGGAAAGCCCAGCAGCGCCTGTACTTCATCCGGAAGCTCAAGCGAGCCGGAGCATCACCCCCCATCATGCTGTCCTTCTACCGAGGCGCCACTGAGAGCATCCTCAGCAGCTGCATCACGCTGTGGTTCGGAAGCTGCACCGCCGCCGACCGCAAGAGCCTGCAGCGCATAGTGAACTCTGCCCAGAGGATCATCGGTGCCTCACTCCCCTCACTACAGGACATATACAACACCCGCCTCACCCGCAAAGCACTCAGCATTGTGGGTGACTCCACCCACCCCTCCAACAGCCTCTTCAGCCTCCTGCCTTCAGGAAGAAGGTTCCTCAGCCTCAGCTCGCGCACCTCCAGGCTGGGCAACAGCTTCCTCCACCAGGCGGTCAGGCTGCTGAACTCTCTCCCCTCCCTCCATCTCTTCCGCCCTCTGACATTTCTCCCCTGAACTCTCCACCCTGCCTCCGACCTTTCTCCCCTGCCCCAAATGGTCCTGGACTCTAACCCTCTAACTCACTTTTCTGCCCATCTCCCATGCTACTGCACTGAAACTGTACTTTAAACACTTAAATTATATTATTGACATTTTAAACTGTATACCCCGGTTATCTAGGCCCTTTGTTTTGTTTAATGTATACCATGTTTATCTAGGCCCTTTTTGTTTTTTGTTTTATGTATATATGTCACTGTAGGACTGCGGGAAACGATATTTCGATATTTCTGGATGTTCAACATGTAGAATTATTGACAATAAAGCTGACTTTGACTTGACTTTGACTTTGAGTTCTTCCTGATACGGACATCTTTCCCATAAAACTTGGGCCCGCATGTGAGTGGTGGGGGTGGAGGTGTTCCAAATTCCAACATTTCAGAAGCAAGCTGCTCCCTGAAAGTCTTCTGTGTGTGTGGCTTTGTCCTGCTGGGGTCACTCTTCATCTTGTGCAGCTCCTTGTGGAGAATGAAGCTGTTCACCACGGCAATGTCCACAAAATGGTAAAAAAAAGTCTTGTACCATTTCATAGTTTTGTGGAGAACGCTGTAGTACCCGATCAAAGCGTCAGACACATCCACGCCACCCATGCTTAGGTTGTAGTCCAACACAGCGTCAGGAACGGGAACAGTCTTAGTCTGCCACACACCAGCCTGTTTCACTTTCCGCTGGACCGTCTGACCGCTGAAGGCCTCGTGCACTGTGGAGCACATGGTCACTTCACGGCTGTCCATCCACTTTATGAACAGGAGTTTGCCTTCCCTTATCCACCGCAGATCTCCCCTTTCAGCCTTCTTTGGTAGGCCATTCAAAAAAGTCTGAAAATGGAGAGGGGAGACCATGCTACAGTGGGGTTGAGCGCTGGGCCTGGGACCCTGGCTGGCGTGAAATTCAGTGGCTCTGGTGTTTGGTCATTCTCCTCTCTGTTGTGCCACCCGAGTTCTTCTTCTGTCGTTCTGGAAGAGGAAGAACCTCGGCCACGCTTCCTGCGTTTTACACATTTATCTGATGCTTTTCCTTTTCCTGGCTGAGGAGCGGGGAGCCCCACCTCGGCCACGCTTCCTTTGGTTTACAGATGCATCTGACGCTGCAGAAAGCTGGTAGAAACCAGACGATGGTAGCTTTGGAAGTGAGTGCTTTTTGGATGCAGGCTGAGTGGCCAATACTGGTGCAGATCTCTTTCTAGAAGTTGAGGAATGTGAGGGTGAGGCAGGTGTGGCAGGTGTGGGCTGGGTGAAAGTAGGCAATGGTGAAGCCATTTCATCCTCATCTCCATCACTATGAAAACAAATGTGGAAAAAACAAAGAGATTAGATTAATTCCTGTAATTCCTGTTTCCTTGGCAGTAAACATGCCATTTTGAGTGTGTGAATACAATACATTTAGTGACTATAGATGAACACTGGCCAACCCTGTCTCCTAAAAATTATGTTCCCACAGAACTAAACTCCATTCTCAATTACGTTTAGCAAGAAACGTATTTTCTCCCACGTTACGTTTGTTATGAACGTATCTTAAATACGTTTATTTTTTACATATCTTTGCCATTTATTGTCTTGCTTATAATAATAATAATAGTCATTTATAAATACAATTTTAGAGCACACATTTGAAATCGACGATCGGGCTCGATATATGGTTAAATTAAAATCAGTAGGCGAGGCTGTAATTTCGCCAGCTGTTACTCTCATGAGCAAGGCAGAAAATAATAGTTTTATTATAGCGCTGTATTATTATTTATTATTTACTATATGAATAATCGTACACCAAATAAATAAGTAATAGATAAAAACAGAGAGATTACATACCTTTCCCGTGGTGGAATTTCATCATCAGAGTCACAACGCTCCGGGTTCCGTTCTGGCTGCAGGAGATCCTCGTCGTCTGACTCAGAATCAACGGGTAACATATCTGCATCGCTGTCAACATTAGTCACCATTTCCATTGCCTGTAAAGTCGTAAGCATCTCTTTCCTGCAAGCCATTATTTGACAAAAGTCAAAGTATAGCAAAATTCCTAAACGCCAATCTTGTAATCTGCTCCGTTATCTGCTGTCCGCTCCGTGCGCTCTGGGTCCTGCTGCAATTCCTGTTGTTTACGTAGTAAACACGGCGTAGAGTCTGCTGCGTAATGGGT